TCATTACTTTATATGGTAATTCTTTGCTAGAATTTAGAAATGGACATAATTTCTCCAAAGTATATCCATCTGGTGTTTTTGTTATTAAAGTTCATTCTTTTGTTATTTGATTTCAGACCACCGTCACAGGTCACCCATTTGGTGGTCAATAATAATATGTTGGTCATAGCAATGGCTAAAAACATTATATTGAGGATTGATTTGGAACGTCCTGAAAATCCAGATGGTAAGGAAATAGCGCATTTGCTCTGTTAGAAGCGCAATGTTAATCAGCTGTTGCATTTATTGTGTACAGGATTATTGAAATATGACTTAAATTGATCATAGATTATTTGACTATTAGAGCAAAATTAGTATCGAAATAATTTTTTTTATATCGTAGAAATAATTTATTCACAAGTTAATAATTTTGTATGTGTTGATGTTGTTATGTCTGCCGTCCATCTGTTTATAATAATGATTATCAATTCTTATTCATTTTGTGCATTCGCAGTCACTTCTTTTCAAGTACGAGCTCCTAACTACCTTATTTATTGTTCATAACATTTTTCATTTTAAAAAAATATATTTCAGAGGTGGAAGTAAGTCGTAATACGGAAGATAGCATTCACCAATTATTCCTAGATCATAATGGCCGACATTTGATCATTAGCATGGAGTCACAGGACGTGTTGTATCTTTCCAGAAGTTCCAAAAAACCCAGACAGCTGACAAAGATGAAGGTATATTTATGTCTTACCTGTTCTTGACTTAGAATGGACATGTTTTTAGTTGACTGTCTGCTATGTGCAACATGCATTATTGAGTGTATGTGCACCAGTGTCGATTTTGTGATAGAAGATTTTATAATCTGTCATTTGTAAGATAGTTTGCGTCAGTTTGTCGCAACTTTATCAGGTTTCTCTGTCCTTCAGAGATGACTGCAGAAATACCAAGATGTCACCAAACTTATTTTTTATTTTGCATATTTATCCTTTAATTTGTGTATAACTTACCATGACTGTTCTAATAGTGGCCGTTAATAAACAGTGAACATGCAAAGTGAATCCTCAGTACACAAATACTAGTGGGGTTTACGCAATATATTTTCATCACCATTCCAATTTATGTTTTTTTTTTGCCAGGGCTTAGTCATAGATTCTGTTGCTTGGAATAAAGCATCTGGTAGCGATAATACCACTGGCGAGATACTCTTGGGAAGCAGTAAAGGTAATCGCTTTTTATTTTGAATTATTAAGTAATTAACCAGTCACTACTCGCTTTTACTCAGTTCTGATGCATAGACAAACTCAGTAGAGAACAGTGCCCTCACACGTGAGAATAAATATTTGTTTTTGTTTTCACAAAGTTCCCTATAATCATAAATGATCATGAATGTAGGTGGTATATTTAGTCTTCGGTTTGGATAAATTTTGAAATTAGGGACTATCAATGTGGGTTTCTTAGACAATCTTATTCAAATTTGCTAAATTCTGATCATTGAACATGTCTGAAACCATTTCTTTGTTTGCACACATATACTCATAGGTAATACAGTATGTTGTGATTTGTTCAACTTTGTTGAATTACTAAACATTTTGTCTATTAAAATATTATCAAAATATCAAACTTTTATGCAGGATTATGCATACACATGTCATATTTATCTCACAGATGATATGATGAATTTATAACACAGGTGGTATATTTGATGAATTCATAACACAGGTGGTATATTTGATGTATTATTTCACATGTGGTATATTTGATGTGTTTATTTCATAGTTGGTATGTTTGATGAATTTATAACACAGGTGGTATATTTGATGTATTATTTCACATGTGGTATATTTGATGTGTTTATTTCATAGTTGGTATGTTTGATGAATTTATAACACAGGTGGTAAATTTGATGTATTATTTCACATGTGGTATATTTGATATATTATTTCACAGATGGTATATTTGATGTGTTTATTTCATAGTTGGTATGTTTGATGAATTTATACCAGAGGTGGTATATTTGATGTATTATTTCACATGTGGTATATTTGATATATTATTTCACAGATGGTATATTTGATGTTTATTTCATAGTTGGTATGTTTGATGAATTTATACCACAGGTGGCATATTTGATGTATTATTTCACATGTGGTATATTTGATATATTATTTCACAGATGGTGTATTTAATGTGTTTATTTCATAGTTGGTATGTTTGATAAATTTATACCACAGGTGGCATATTTGATGTATTATTTCACATGTGGTATATTTGATATATTATTTCACAGATGGTATATTTGATGTTTATTTCATAGTTGGTATGTTTGATGAATTTATACCACAGGTGGCATATTTGATGTATTATTTCACATGTGGTATATTTGATATATTATTTCACAGATGGTATATTTAATGTGTTTATTTCATAGTTGGTATGTTTGATAAATTTATACCACAGGTGGCATATTTGATGTATTATTTCACATGTGGTATATTTGATATATTATTTCACAGATGGTATATTTGATGTGTTTATTTCATAGTTGGTATGTTTGATGAATTTATAACACAGGTGGTATATTTGATGTATTATTTCACATGTGGTATATTTGATGTGTTTATTTCATAGTTGGTATGTTTGACGATTT